TCACTGGGAATTCTGTGTCCCAGCTGCACATTCCTGACCGGGAAGTGTGGTGGCAGCGATGAGGGTCCTAGGAAGGGGAGGAAAAAGGTAGCAACCCTGGGAAGGGATTTGTCCGTGTTTTAAAATTGTGTCTATGGAGATGACATAGGAACCTGGGTCTCCTGACTCCCAGTTCAGTGCTCTCTAACTTCTACCAGATCGCTGGTCACATTAGTAGTTATTTAGAAGGTCCGATATGGAAGTTTTCAGTATAGAAGTCACATGAATTTGTGTTTTTATCAATGCACCCACTTAACTACCCACCCATCCATCCATCCATCCATCCACCCATCCACCCATCCACCTATCCACCCATCCATCCACCCACCCACCCATCCATCCACCCATCCACCCATCCACCTCCATCCACCCATCCACCCATCCATCCACCCATCCACCCATCAATCCATCCATCCATCCACTCTAACATCTACCCACACACTCACTCTCCCAATAATTCCTGGTTGAGTGTCCACTATATTCCAAGCACTGTGCAAGACTCTGGAGTCCATTGGTGATCAGAAACTGACGCTGTCTCCTGGCTGTGTCATCTCAGAGTAGGTGAACTTTTGTCTTGGGAAGAGGCCTCCTTGCTGGAGCCAATTTGAAGAGGAACTCTTGTTAATCTGTTAGTCTTGATCAAAGCGGAAACACTGTTGAAGAAAAACAGTGAGTTGCAGTTAACCCTCAAATGGAAATTCTTCAAACTGTGATTTAAAGACAAGATTTTATCTGAGAATTTAAAAATTTGAGTGCAATGTCAATTTCATATTCAATTATTTGGTAACAGAAGTTGACTTCTGAAAGGAGCCTTACAGGCAAGAACATTGCAAGGGTTATTGAAAATGTCTATTGCAGCGGCGGGCTTCGCAGTCTCTCCTCCAGGGAGTCTGAACTGTGAGGCCTTGGCCTTCCATCTGAGCACAGCAGGGAGCCACAGAACTCCAGAGGTTTGCCAGTTGCTTTTGACGGCCTGGCTGATGCCGAGGAACCATATGGAAACGGAGAAATTCAGCGCAAGATCTGGAGGCTTTGTCTGTGTGACAACAAATAATCCGATATTTGGAAACAAGAGATCTTTGACTAAATCTTGAGTCATCCTCTGGAAATCCCTAAATGGAACCTCAGAGGAATTTGTGTTGTCACCCATTTTATCTTGTTCTTCTCTGTTTTCTTCCTGGATGATTCATTTGACGCTCATTCCCCAATCTGTAACTCTGGCTCCAATGATCTCGTCACCATTCCTGAAGTCCTCCCAGCACCCCACCTGTGCGGCAGCATCCCCTGCCAGCCTCAACAAACGACTGCTTGCTACCGTATCTCCCAGCCTCCCCTGCAGGTGGACAGGAGCCGTGAGCCTGGGCTCTGGCCAATGGCGTGTGAGTGAGGTCCTATCCTTACAAAACTTCCTGGGCTTCTCCGGCTCCTGTCATGTGACCCTAGTGCCACTTGTTCTAGATGGCAGAGTTACAGGAAGGACGAGTGTCACTGCACTCTTCATTGCAGCAAACTTTGAATGAGGGAAGTAATGTTCCTGGAGACACACTGAGACTTGGGATTATCTGTCACTGCACTGCAGCCCAGCCTACACCAACGAGCAGCTGCAGGCCATCGTGTGACAACTCAGAGGCTGCAGTCAAGACTGCATCTGACACCTTCTCTTCAAATTTGTGCCCTCCCTGGCATCACTGTCCCAAACCCTTCAGAGTCTCTGGACTGTTTCTTCCTTCTCACACTGCACCGCTGGGGCTTTCACCCCTCTCCATCCCCTCCCCTGCACCCCTCTCTACTCCTGGACCAACACTCTGTCTTCCAAGTTGTTGGTCTCTCCCTCCAGCCTTTAGAAGCTGCCAGCACTTGAAACTACAATTTTGGCCATGTCATTCCTTTTCTTGAAAATCCTAGAAGGTTCTCCTTAAGCTCAGAGTAAAGGACAAACGCTTCAGTACTTGAGTTCATTAACTTTTTGTCATTGGCAGGACAAGATACCTGCCATACACAACTCAAAGGAGGGTAGTTCATTTGGCTTACAGTTTCTGACTCAGTCCACGGTCAGCTGGCTCCAAAGCAGAAACATCATGGCGGAAGGGTGTGGGGAAGGACAGCTGCTCACCTCATGGCAGCCAGGAAACAGGCAGGGACAGAGCCAGGGAGAGAGGAAGGAGCTGGGGACAGGGCACACTCTTCAAGGACATACTCCGGTGACCCACTTCCTCCACTGGGGCCCCACACAGCACATTCAGGTGCACGCTCACCAGTGCATTAATCCACCGTGGCCAGGGTCCTCAGGACCCACTCCGCTCCAGGCTCCACCTTCTTTCAGTGGGGGTCCAGCCCTCGGTGGATGAATCTCTGGGGGGCACTTCATATTTGTAACCATAACAGAACCTGAGGCCTGCAGCCTGTGGACCGCACCTTTCCCTCCCGCTGTGTAGCCACTGCTCTGTTCCATACCCGGCAGGCTGATCGCTGCTCCCTGTGGGGTACCAACCTCTATGTCTCTGTCCCACTGTTTTCCCGAGATCAGGCCCTGACTCACTGCTCCTGGCCGGCCGGGATGTACTTTTCTTGGACGCCAACACCTCAGGCAGAATAAATTTTCCCTCTCTTTTCCTTCCACTGCACTCAGCACATATTTTCATAATAGCTTATGTTCTCTGGGGTGTTTGTAGCTGTTAAGCAGAAATAAAGAGCTACAGGGTCAAAAAGCAGGAGAAACAATGGCATGAATCAAAGTCGAGATGGCTTTTAAATCACAGAGCATTTCAGGCCTTACCGTCACCGTCGGGGACTCCTGGGGAGCAGCTCACAGTCAGTGGCTCTTCCTGGGGTTAGTGATCTGTGGAACTCTGAGGTCATCCCTCCTCTCATTTTACAGATGGGGAGACTGAGGCGCAGAGCACACAGCTGGGGAGGGGCTGAGGGGAGAGCGCTGGAGAGCGCGAGGAGGTGGAACGTGCCACAGTCCCCACAGAGGGAGGCGCCTGTCGGGCGTAGGACTTGCCGTGGGGCTCCTGCTGCGGAGCGAGGCTTGGGGATGACCACACACCGTGCACCTGGGCATCTGGGACTGGATGGGACTGCAGAATGGGCCACCAGGGACCCGCTCATCCCATGGGGGGCGCGTTCCACGTCCTGGGGGCGATTCCGGCGCTGGCCCCCGTGGACACGCCCCACAGCACGCTCCAGGGATTCTGAGCAGCACACAGGCGCTTGGTCATCTGCACAAAACTCCCTGGTGTGGTGTGGTTGACTGTTCCCCATGGGCCCATGGTGACAGTGGCTTGGTCTCCACTACTGAAGGTGGCACTGAGGTGGGGCCGAGTGGGGGGCTCTTAGGTCCCTGGGGCAAGCTCTTGGAAGGGACCATGGAGCCTCAGCTGTCATCGCCCTCCTGTCCCCTCATTCTCCGGGCCTGCTGTCTGTGCCTATGTCCCACTATGAGCCTGGAGGGTGGGATTTGGCCTGCTGGTTCCCTGCCATCTCCCTGGGGCTGGGAACAGGGCCAGGCACGCAGTGGGTGCTCAGCACAAGTCGGATGGCAGAAGCGAGTCAGCCCTTTTATGCTGCCCACCTCAGGGTCCGGCTGGTCTGCAGAGATGGTGTGCCAAGGGACAGGCAGCCTCTGTCCCTGCCCGGACGCACCACAGGAAGTCTTTACAGTGTGCAGACAGGGCCCAAGCTCAGGTTCCAGTCTTCTGTCCCCTGCTACCTAGGTCTGTTGTCCCTGACACTCTGATAACAAGGTTGTCACACGTGTCACCTCTGACCCCTTGTTGCTGACTAGGTGACTTCCCCGAGACCTTCCTCTCCGGATGGGAGGAGCAGAACTTCTGAATCAGGCAGGAGGTGGGTTGAGAGTGGCCTGGGGGCTTTAGGCAGCCCGGTCCTTTGTGCTCCCTCCCACTGGGCTGGTGCCTGGTGCCAGTCGGGCCTCGACTTTCCCCCGCCAGAGGCCAACCCTGCTCACAGAGATGCACAGTTCCTGCGCTGCCACATTTACAAAGATAAATTAAAATACTATCACTAGAGATCTTCACTAATTTAAAAAAGCTGGGAACTTTTAATGAGCAAGTGGTATGATTAAGCACTGGAAAGACGAAGTGCCTCTTCCCTCTGGGTGCAGAGTGCTCTATGAAACAGGTAGGCAGGTGTGGCTCTCAACACTGAAGGGTTTTCAGGGGTTCAGCTGAGCCCCCTGCTTACCTCTTCTGAAAAGCATCTTTCTTGGGTCCTGCTATGTGCTGGGTCTTTCACATCTATTCCCTCCTGAGTCCTCTTCCCCCGCCTAAGTTAATATTTATTTGATTTTTATTCTATTTTTTATCATTTCTTCTTTTTTTAAAATCTGGGGCAAAATCCAGGAGTGGTGACACATACCGATATTCTCAGCACTCCAGAGGCTGAAGCAGGAGGACTGCAGCGAGTGCAAGGCCAGCCTGGATCTCATATAATGAGATCCTGTCTCAAAAAACAAAAACAACAAAAAAATTGGGCAGTAAGTTCTCACTAAGTTGCACAGGCGGGCCTCGAACTTGTGATCCTCTTGCCTCAGCTTCCCAAGTAGTGGATGTATACCACCTTACAAGAAGTCAAGTGGGCCGGGGATTTGGCTTAGTGGTGCCACTGCCTGCCTTGCAAATGCAAGGACCTGAGTTCGATCCCTGGTGCCAAAAAAAAAAAGTTGAGTGCAGAGGCTGAGATTGGAGGTGCAGTGGCAGAGCACTTGCTCAGCCTGTGCAAAGGCCCAGGGTAGGGCGCCCTGGGGAGTGAGCTCACAGCCAGGTGCACATCTGAACTACACAGGGAACTTTGGGGTGGCAGAATAATGGGTTGCCAGCCTCTGAAGGCCTGGGTCAGGACCTGGGCATTGGGATTTTTTGGAAGTTCCCCCTGTGGCTCTAATGTGGAGTTGGCTGGGCAGACCAGAGAGTGCGGGGACTGTCACCCTTACCTGGTGCTACTTCTGTCCTTGTTACCTTCCTCCTTGGCTGAGACGGCAGCTCTTCCATCCCTTAGGGTCGTCGAGCTCTGTTTCGTAGCGTCTCTGTTTAGTTGGGCTTCTCCTGTGCCAGACTGTGGAGGTCCCAAGAGCAGGGAGCCACTGTGATTCTGCCTGGAGCCCAGCGAGGGCCCAGGGAGAGGTGAGGAGGGTGGGCAGGCCGGTTTCCTATCTTCAGACATGGGCTCTGTGAGTCATCATGTGGTGTCACCAGAGGGACAGGGCATCACGTTTGTCTGATGTGTTCTGAGAGTTGGGGACTAGAGCCCCGTGCCCACCCGGGCTGGCCGTTTGGTGCCTGCAGGGATTTGTGAACAGCCCCACATCAGCCCTGCACACCCCAGTGCCCGCTGAGCCTTTGGCCACCACCCAGGCCCCGCGGTTGCTGGAGATGTCCTTTCTTTCTTCTCCCCAGGCACATGAGACGCGGTGCCCTGGAGGTCAGCCGGCTGTCCTTACTTCCTGTGCCTTCCTTGCTTCTGTATCCCTGGGGCCCCATGGGGGTCACTGAGGAGGATGAACGTGGAGAAGAGGGATGCCTGGGAGGGAGGGGACAGGTCCCGAGGGGTTTCCTTCCACCCTGTCATCCTCTGTCCCCGCTGGCCAGCTCCCAGCCACCATGGCCTCTCTCTGGACCAGAACAGGAACAGCCCAGTGGCTTCCTGCACCGTGGCCAGGGCATCGGCTGTAAAATGCCGACAGTCTCACTTCTCTGTGTAGAGCACTCCAGTGACTTTTCCACCAGCTGCGACACAAATCAGCCACTGGCTGGGTGCCTGCTGCTCCTGGGCACACAGTCTCCTCTGAGTCGGGGTGGCCATGCCTGTGCCCTTCTGTGGTGCCCAGGCTGGCTCCCTCTCGCCATCCACTCCTGGATGCCCAGCCTGTCCTTTCCGGGAGTGAAGCCCATGGGGACGTCTGTGGTGCTAGTGCCCCTTCTCTCTTTATCCAATGGCAGCTTTGTTTTCAGTACTGGGGGTCAAACTCAGGGTGCTCTATCCCCAGGCTCCAGTGGCAGCTTTCTTTTCACCAGGGAGCTCGCTGGTGGCTGAAATTGTTCTCCTGAGCACCTGTGCCACCCATTGGGACCTCTGTCCTATTCCTTTATCGCCGAGCTCTGTGTCCAGCCACGACTGGGAACCCTTGGTCTGGGGGAGCCACAGCAGCTCTGAGCTGGGATTCATGGAAGGGATGGAGTAGCCCTGTCCTTTGCCTCATCTGGACAGAGGCAGAAGAGGGTTCTGGGCTGAGCCTGCAGGGTGTCACCTGCATGTCAGGTCTGTACCCTCTTCCCAGCCTGGGGGGTCCTCAGAGGAGCGAGCCTCAGGGTCAGCCGAGCTGCTGGTGGGGAGCCTGGATCTGAGCCCCAGAGGGGTGAGGTCCCCTAGGGCCCTGTACACAGGTGACAGGAAATTAGGCTGATGCCAAGTGGCCTTGGGGTCAGAGAAGCGGTGGAATCTGGCCTCTGCGTATGCAGCCGGGGGACCTCAGGTGTCCCTGAGCTTCTCTGAGTCCCTTCCCTCATCTGTAAGTGGGGACAATCACTCACCCTTCACAGCGTGCCACAGGAATGCCGTGTGAGCCTGCCCTGTCAAAGCAGCACCCGCGAGCAGGGGGTCCGTCTTCTGTTCAGCCTGGAGGGAAGTGACCTGAAAATAGGAGGTGCACAGTGACTTGTCACAGGTTTCCTGAGCACAATACTTAGAGGATTCTTTTATTTAAAACAAAACACAACCGCCAAACTCTAGACGAGACGGTAGGGATTGTGAAGCCCCTTCAGTTCACTTTGGTGAGCCGGAGACTCGGAGGCTAGGAAAGGGGCCAGGTGAGCTACCATCAGGGCTGGGATGGAATGGTCCCTGCCCCGACCTCCCAGCCAGGCTCCCTTCCGCCCCACGATGATCTGCAGTGTTTCTGTGTCCTGTGCCAGACCAGATGTTCCTGCAGCTGCACACGTCCTGGAATCTGAGCCTGGCAGGTTGGGGACTCACATTGCAGAGGGTTTGGGTGCCCACCCTTCCCAGACCCTGCATTGCTCAACTAGTGCTGGGCCGGGGGAGCCCTGGTCCCTGCTGCCTGTGCTGTGGGATAGCACTTCCTGGTAAGGCTGCTGGAGGCCTCAATTCCTCAGGGCCCTCGGGACCCCATTCCGTCTCTCCCCAGTGTTGGAAGCCTGGGGCGCCTCAGCCTTGCCCTACCTACTCTGAAGAGGCCAAGCTGGAAGTGGAGAGTCTAACGTAGGGCCTTCAGGGGGAGAGCGAAGCGGTAAGAACACGGGCTCACCCAGGCCCTGGCCTTGCCTGAGGACACCTCTGCCCCGTGTTGGTCCCTAGGGTCCACACAGTGGGTGACCCTGGAAGGTATTTAATATAGTGAGTAGCCACGTGGTCGAAGTTGGGACTTTCTGCTCTGGGTCTCAATCTGCGCACACTTCCTGGCGGCCGGCCAGGTGCTGTTGAGGCCTTCCCACACTTCCACCACGTCCCACTGTCCCCATGAGGCCACTGTCTGTGGCTCAGTGCTGCCCCCTGGTGGTCCCTGAGGAGGGGGTGGGGTGGAGGGAGTCAGGAAGCCAGACACCGTCTGGATACCCTGGGGGAGGAGGGGGCTCCACTGGGGGCCACCTGGGCTGTGCCTGGAAGGCCTCCTCTCCGCGCCTCCTGGCCCAGGCTCCTTCCCCTGCGGCTCCCTGGAGGCTGCGCGCGGTCTGGCTCTCCGGAGTTGTTCGTTCAGCCCCTTGGGTGTGGTTTGTCTCCTCTCCAGACTGTCAGCTCCGGCTGGGACCTGCCTGTTGCTATCGCTCCGCCCCGCGAGCAGGGACCCTGGCTGGTGTACAGCAGGTGTGCAGAGATTGCGGAAGACAGGTGGAGAGGACTCAGGGACAGAGAGAGAGGGTTGGGAGGAGCCGGCTGGGACCCAGAGCCAGGTGCGCCGGCTGGGACCTCCCGCCCTGTCCGGTGCCTGCGC